AATGACGTTTATGACACACTTGATACTGAATGTATGTACATTCTTTTCCCACTTTTTTATTTAAATATTTTTGCAAGGATAAACAAGAAGAAAATGATTTCTGGCAGTTTTTTTACACAAATATGTGAAAATCTCACAGAAACAAGCAACAACACATTTCCTCAGTCCACCCATGTTTCCTTCAGGCTTTTTAGACGAAGTTAAAAACTCAGTCAGAGCATTTTGTACTTAAAGTGGAAATAATGAGCCAGTTAAATTATTGCATTTAAATGTGTAAAGTCTGACACTTTGAAACATTTATGTCAATTAAAGTAATCTTAACTCTTTGACAGACAGTTAATGCTACATTTGACACAAAAATGATAAGAATTACAGTAAATCCTAATGTATGAGCACACTTGGGTTTCCAGGCTCAAAAAAAGAAATGTCTGACATTATTCTTGTGCAAATGAGTTGATTGTCTTGGCCTTGTAAACGCTGAATTGGATGTAGTTACTCTGTAGGATGGCAGAGCAAGCAGAAATTGGCTGATATTGGCCACTGTGGGACAGCGAGAGGTGGGGAAGGTGGGGGCTTTTGCACCAATGCCAGCTCCTTTATTTAATGCAAAAGGGGTAGTGGGGGGATGGGGGTGAATGTGCTCAGAGCAGAGTGCAGCAGTTGTAGTAGTAACAGTGGAGCACTCCATTACAGCATTACGGTGCAGCACGGTGCGCAGCACAGCTACAGAAATAGTGAAGCAGAATCAATTTTACAGTTGCGCCCGCACAGATGCACGCCATGAAAATGGCTGTGACAAAAGCCTCAGGGCCATGACAACCACGTGTGACATGTTTTATTTTGGTATCAATGCACATGTGTGCATCAGACCTAGTTCAAGGATAGGGATTGTCATTTTTACCACAGCAGGAGCCTCTGGGATTTTTATTTTTATACCTGCAAACGTTTGTATTTTGCTTGCAGTCATTTTTTTTATTCAGGACAGTTAAATCCATCCTAAAACGTACAGAAATTTTCTAACAATATTTTAGGCACATCATATGCCTTTTTCCATAACACACATTGTACTCTACTGTATATTCAGAGGGAAGCACCGGCTGCTGCAACTGATAATGTTCATGGATGCTATGAAAAAAAAGCAAACCGACTCAAATCAATATAAAAATGTTGTTCACCTCAGATGTATATTGAAATTAATAGGCCTTTATTGCAATCCAACACTTGGCTTGGTTAGAACATAGCATCAGTCTCATTGTTAGGACTGGGAAAGCACTGAGTTGATTTGGGCCACGATATGATTTTATTGATCCGCTCATTGCATTCCTGGCTGTCTGAGTGCCAAGATGCTCRCATCCAAACAGAACCATCTCTTTAACCAGAGAAGACGTCTGTTTCTCTGTCTGYGCCACAGCCTCTTCCCCCATCGAACCCACACAGGAAGGGATTAGGGGACACTCGGGGCTATCAATCATTTATAAAGGGAAGCATTAAGTGAGACTGCAGGGAAAAATGATGCTCTTCTTAATTTGGAGTGGCTCCGAGTTCAAAATCTAAAAAAATAACTTTTTTTTTTCTTTAGGAGATTCCGCTGCTTTCAGTTACCTAAATAATTTTCTATTGCACCTCTAAATAAAATATTTCAAAGGTCAATATGAAATAGAGACTTTGGTYCCAGTGCAAATCTTTTCAAAACAGTTTCAGGTATTACAAACATTAGTGTGCTCAAAAGATTTGCTATATGAAGAGTAAATATCTCCAAAAACAGCATAGAGCACTTAGAAAAATACGTAACATTTTTAGAGCCATTTTGGTCAAATCTTATCTTCAACTCAGTTGTATGTACAAAACATACACTATTCTGTATCAGGTAAAATTGGTGTACATGCAGCTGCAGTGAAAATGGTTTGAAAAAAAAAATCTGGCCTGCTGGAAATCCTAAATGAATAAAATATATAAAATATTACAAAAAATGTTGTTGTTTTTTTCAAAAATTATGACAAATCAGACTTCATTCAAAAATATTTGCATCAAACTCGGACAAGAATAAGGATGAGCGTAYGAGAATATTAACAGGCTATTTCCAATAATTACTAACATTGCAAAACAATGCATTTAACCTAACAAATCAAATCAGCCATCATCACAGTTGAAATGAAATCATGTGGGGAAAGCAGCAGGAGAATGTGAGCTAATTATTAATGCCATTAATGAAAATGTAAATTATTCAGCTGTCTCAGAACAAATTGAGAAGTAGGCTTAGCTTCTGAGGGTTGATTTTATTTACACACAACCACCCCGTCTGACACTCCATCATTTCTTCTTCCAGCTGTGTGTATCTGTGTACACACTACAACAATAAAACCTTTTTATTGTTTTCAACCAATCAGTCTTTTTATGCTAGTTGCAATGCAATTGATAGAAATGTTCGCATAAAATGAGATGGAATGACTCAAGTGTCCATAARACGGACACAAGGCAAGCATTGGTTTCAATAAATGCTGTAGATTTWTGCTGACATGAGATATTTTGTGGTGTTATTAGCCAGCTGAACAATTAAAAACTAGCTTTAAAAAAATAAACGGTTCATCTAATATTAAGCTATGCAGCCATTTGAATAACATTACTTTTTCATTTTCGATCCTCTGCTGTAGTTCCTCCTCACAACAATTTTCCTGCACATTGTTGCAAATATTATTTTATCCAGCTCTGCAGAAAACAAAGCTCCRCTCTTAAGTCCAAGACTTAAAATGCTCCCCAGAGACTTTAGGAGCATTTTTATTCAGCMTATGGTGAAGAAATGTCAGTATTTCAGCAGGAATAATGCACCATGGTTAATGCAATCAGCTCATGGTAATGAGTTTTTACAGCCTTATCTCATGCAGCATAAGGCTGCAGCGCCTTGGTCTGTATTCACTTGTACACCCTGGAGGTATGCTACAATTACTGTTCAGCTGAAGTCACAAAATATCTGACGAAGTCACAAACAAGCCTTGTGTCAACTGGAGGTACAGACTGCAGTGGCATGAATTGCTTCTGTAGTTTATGTTTGGCTCTAGTACCACTCTCAAGGCGTATTACTAACACTTACGTCATAGATCTGGCACTTTGTACCATCAACACCCTTTATCTTATGAGGCACTCTACTTTACTATTAAATTATACTGTAAATGCATCAAAGAAAACAAATGTTTAAAACAAATATAAAGCCTACTATAACTAATCATAATAAACTTTAAGAGTGTTGTCAATTCCCAAAATATGGAAAAAAAACAACTAATATTAGTTTAATTTTTAATGCTAAGCCTTAAACAGCTTTTGGTTTGAAAATCCCACCATGCATCAAAGTAACAACCCAATTCTATCTCAATGTAAAACAACTTTCAGAAGAATAATGGCACAAACTGTCCCAGTGCAACATGCAATTTAAACACCAAAAAACATGCTCGTAAAGAAAAATCAATCACACCTTGGGTTAGGTGGAAACTAC